ATTTATTTTAAAAAGTAACATTCAGACTGGCCTCTCTCCCAATTTCTCTGAAAGTGTGTGACATGGCTAGTGTAAGAACTGACGAATAAATGCTACCGAATTTATTCAGCAGTTAAAGCAAGAGGAACTTAAGATCGCTTCATGCTGTTTCATATTATGATTCTAAGACAAATAAATATATCAAAGTAATTTAATTATAAAGTAGCAGATTCTAAGTGAGAATCAAGAAAGGTCATATTAGAAAACATGATACAGGGAAGATAGTTTCTTTCTAAAACATGACTGTATACTTTAAATGATTAATATAATACATTTTCCTGAAATACAATTGAAGAGGAATTTCAATTCATTCAACTCTAAATATGCAGAAATAACTCAAGGTAAAACATGAAAATGAAAGTCATTTGGCACATTGTGATTTTGCTCATTCAAAATAGTTTCTATTGATTTGTTCAACAGATGTGTTTCTTTTAAGTTGTGCTGAGATGTTAGTTAAAGCATCAAAAAATACAAACATATGGGCCGGCCCATGGCTCACTCGGTAGAGTGCGGTGCTGATAACACCAAGGCCACGGGTTCGGATCCTATATAGGGATGGCCGGTTGGCTCACTGGCTAAGCGTGGTGCTGACAAAACCAAGTCAAGGGTTAAGATCCCCTTACCGGTCATCTTTAAAAAAAAAAAAAAAATACAAACAAAAACAACAAACTTTAAATAATTTGTTAGTTCTACATGAAGAAATTAAAACAAACAAAGACTCAGTGTGTCATTCTGTAATGTCAAATCTCTTGCTGAAATGTAAACAAGTAATATCTAATTTTTTAGTGTTATTCATGGGCATTGTTATATATTGTATCCTTAAAGGTAGACGGAGAATAGACTTTAACTACAAATATAGGGCATTAAATGCTAGAATCAAACAGCATGTGTAAAAATCAGTATTGATAACATGATCTGAAACATCTAAAGAAAACTAGATTGGTATTTTTTAATGGATTTTGAATATGTAATCTAGAAATACATATTAAAAGATAATTCTCATATTTTTATTGATAAAACAGCACAAAGAAAAAAGAAACATTTTAAAATTAGAATTATTTCAGAGAAAGAGTAAGAAGACTGTCAAAGAAATTGCTTACTTCATCTGTCTAAATACTGATTAAATAATCTTACCATATTTGAAGGTTTTCATCAAAATCTCCAGTAGCTAAATATCTCTGCTGTAAAGATGTTGCACCAAATGTTCCACATTTAATGGGTTTGGCCTTTTCAATATTGACAGAAGGGAGGAAGAGAGGATGCATTATTTATGTAAGCAGTTATTTATACTACACAATATTTAAGGCTCTATTCTTCGTATGCCATGCTTGGGTGCAATGCCAGGGAAAATGAAGAGAAGAATAGTTAGAGAAAGAAGACATTGATGGAAAATACGGAACAGGTAAGGCAAGGGCACAGGACAAAAGAGACTCGTGTATGTTTTGGTTTCCGTAATGAACAAGTTGACATTCTTTGGCCTCATTTTGTACTAGCAGAACAGACAATTCAGTGTGTGTGTGTGTGTGTGTGTGTAGAGATATTTTTCAACGTGTATATGTTTTTATGTAGTGAGAGTCCAGAAGCTACCATTGATTTGTACACTGAAGAGAATAGTCATAAACATATTTGCTTTTTTTGTTTTATGTCATATTACCTTATGTATGCCATTAATTATTATCTTTGTAGAATATAGATTGCTTTTAAATTCTTTGGTTTTTCTACATGTTTTTTTCAGCCCTAGTCCTATTTTTCAAGATTCCAAGACTGGAAGACATATTGCATGTTCTTTTCTCTTGATTTTTTTTATTTTAAACATCACAAACTAACTTGACCTGATGGATTTTGTGGAGAAAATTAAAGAGGGGTCCATGAAAAAGGCACTGTGGCGAGTTTATACCACATTAAGTGTGGTATAACTTATGTGCCCGAGCATTAGGAACAGATGTTGCTGTCAGCCCACTTGGCTTGGATGCGTTTGTTTTTCTTCCTCTGTTTAGTACTTTTCTCACTAACTTCTCTTGTGACCGTGATAAAGTAAGTTAGGGCTGGGCCGGCCCGGTGGCGCACTGGATAGTGCGCCACTTGGGAAGCGCGGCAGCGCTCCCGCCCGAGGGTTCGGATCCCACATACAGACCGGTTCCCGCTCACTGGCTGAGCTAGGCGCGGGAGCAACGCAGAGGGTTGCGATCCCGTTGCCGGTCCCCGTCCGGTACGGGGGCAACACTGAGGGTTGCGATCCGTTGCCAGACACAGAAAAAAGACAAAAAGACAAAAAAAAAAAAAAGTAAGTTAGGGCTGAGTTGCTAACAGTCGATATGTGGATTAAGCTGGTTTGGGGGAGGAAATGCATGGGTAGAATCATTTTTCTTGGTGGCAAGCTTTTAAGCACGCCTAGAACCATCTTTCTGGGGACTTTTCTAGTGGTAGTGAATAGGTAGCATTTGATACAAGATGCTAAGAGCCCAGAAGGAGATACGTTCATAGGTGGGACCAGTAAAGATCGTTATTGCTTTAATAGACTTATTTTTCCCATCTCTTCCAATAATGCTTCTACGGCTTATTGTGCAATCTGAATTTTTTCAGTGATTGTATGTGTGTGTTTGTGGGGGTGATGCTTATCTGAGAAGAAATGGTGAAAGGTGTGGCAGGGTAGACATATGGTTTCAGTTTCCAAGTGTTTTTCCCCTTGAACTAAGCGTCCCCTCTCACATAGCTTACTTCCATAATACTAACACGTAATGTAAGGGTAACAACGTATACGAAGTGTCTGCAAGCCAACCAGTCTCCATTTTCTCTATGGTCCCACAGACATCAAGGGAATCCAGAGCTGCTACATGTTTGGGTGGGTGATGTGGATAGGGAGGAGCGTGGTAAGAACAACAACGTGTTTACATATGAAAATACTCAGTTGCAACATTCAGTTCTATTTAGGCAAATGCTTTTCATACTTTGGTCTCTCCTGGTTCCCCCCCACCCCCCGTAATGATTTTCTCCCACAGATTCTAGCCACTTCACTCTAGCTCCCAGTCTCAGCATCATCTTAACCTCTAAAATAAATTTCAAATGTAGGAGGAAGAACCTAAAGAGCTTCAGCCTAACACTCTGGAACTTGCTTAAGTCCTACCCTGACTAAAGCCACACTTTCCATACTCAGAGTGTTATCTTGTTCCAGAGACCCATTCCCTGCATTTTGTACCCATCAGGATAACTGGTCTTCTCTCAGTGTAACATACACAGACCATCCACCCTGAGGCCCTTCTTTATTCTAGCCATTCTCTCTTTTTGCTTTTCTTAAAGACTGGAATCCCTCAAACGCCTCCATTGTGCCTGGGCCCTGCCAGATACTGCTAGATATTGTTAGTGTCACCTTAGCTGTTTTGTGCTCTGAATGTCCCTTCCTCCTATATTTCATGTGTCTGTTGGCCTTTCGTGTTTCTTTGAGAAATGCCCACTCAGCTCCTTTACCCATTTTTTAATTGGGTTATTTGGCTTTTTGATTTTAAGTTGTTTATGTTCCTTGTATATTCTGGATATCAATCCTTTGTCCGATGTATATTTGGCAAGTATTTTCTCCCACTCTGTTGGCTGTCTTTTTGCTCTGTTAATTCTTTCTTTTGCTGCGCTGAAGCCCTTTAGTTTGACATTATCATATTTGTTTATTTTGCCTTTGGGTTCCTGTGCTTTGGGGTTTGTATTCATAAAGGTGAAGACATAATTTTACCTCATGTTGGACTCACTCTCTTCCAAAAAAGCCTGCTCTTTGCCAGTTCCCATACCTTCTGGAAACCCTATTCTCCCCAGATCTGGATTTTTGTGTGTGTCATCTATAACTGAGTTTGTTCTCACCACAAATTTGTGCCTTTTAGCAAACTGGAAGTAAAAACATCAATATAGCATTTGTGAAGGTTAATTCTAGATGTCAGTTTGGTTAGATGAAGGAATGCTGAGAAACCTGGTAAAGCAATCTTTTCAGGTGTGTCCATGAGGGGGTTTCCAGGAGAGATTAGTATGAGAGTCTGAGTGGCCTGTGTGTGAACGACCCACCCTCACTGTGGGTGGGAACCATCCAATCCACTGGGGTCCAGAGAGAACAAAACACAGAGGAAAGAGGTGTAGCTCTCTCTCTCTCGATCCACTGGAGCTGAGATACACTCTTCTCCTCTGTCCATGGACTTCAGGGCTTGAGACTCTTCAACTTTTGGGTTCCAGACTTACACCAAGAACACCATCAGCTTCCCTGGTTCTGAGGCCTTTGAACCTGGACAGAGCCACGCTACTGGCATCCGGTTTACAGATGACCTATCATGGGACATTTCTTCATAGCCACGTGAGCTAATTCCCCTAATAAATCCCTCTCATGTAATTATAACACATCCTATTTATTCTGTCTCTCTGGGGAAACCTGACTAATATAGCATGTCTAGTTTCTGATAGACGTCTGTCACATTTTGTATGTTGTCATGTTTATAGATATTTGTACCATTTGTACATTTTGGTAACCATGCACCTATTGGATATTTTTTTCTATAAATTCCAAACGAGTATTTTATAATTTAATACAAAATATGAATGTGCATAATTGTCAGTTTGCAATCTGTGTAATGCCAACTTCTGCCTTTGTTTTTTCCAATTAGCAACTGACTAATATTGACCCTTTTTTAATTATGTGGAAATTTTCAATGGTCGTAGATTTAAACTTTGTTGGCATATGACTATTGCAAAAATGTTAAAGCTAGTGGTCTCTTCTCCCATTCATTCACTCATTTGTTCATTCATTTATTCAATAACTGACTTTTCCAACACTTAGTTAACCCAGCTCTAAAATGGTTGTGAAGATTATTAGCAATGCATGTAAGGTACTTTCAGAAAGAGGAAACTAAAAATTGTCGTTATAATTAGCTACAGTTTAATCTGGAATTTAGTGGTCTATTCTGTTTTCAGACCTATGGTAGGACGTGCTGACCTTTGCTGTTCCACTTGTAGCAGATGTCAGAGTTTTTCTAACAGGTACAGATTCCTATGCCTGATACTGGGTGGAAATCTTGGACTTGAGCTCCACTCTTATCTCTCANCTCTCCTGGTTCCCCCCCACCGCCCAGTAATGATTTTCTCTCCACAGTTTCTAGCCACTTCACTCTAGCTCCCAGTCTCAGCATCATCTTAACCTCTAAAATAAATTTCAAATGTAGGAGGAAGAACCTAAAGAGCTTCAGTCTAACACTCTGGAACTTGGTTAAGTCCTACCCTGACTAAAGCCTCACTTTTCATAGTCAGGGTGTTATCTTGCTCCAGAGACCTATTCCCTGCATTTTGTACCCATCAGGATAACTGGTCTTCTCACAGTGTAACATATGCAGACCTCCCACCCCTGAGGCCCTTCTTTATTCTAGCCTTTCTCTCTTTTTGCTTTTCTTAAAGACTGGAATCCCTCAAACGCCTACATTGTGCCTAGGCCCTGCCAGATACTGGTAGATATTGTTAGTGTCACCTTAGCTGTTTTGTGCTCTGAATGTCCCTTCCTCCTATATTT